TATTGAAAGTAATTCTGTAGAAGTCTAAAGAATTACAGTAATTACAGTTAACTCTTAGTAATTTCATAGAACACAAAAAACTAAAGAATTTCAAAAATTCTGTCGAATAAATAAATTGAAAACTTTAAAGGTAATTCAAAGACTAAATTTCGATTACTTCTAACAAATTTGCAATTAATTCGTGGACGATTCCAGAATAATGAAGAACTTAGCTTGAATTCCCAGAACTTGAGAAATTCCAGAGTGTATGAAGCAATTATAAAAATTCTAAAAACTCTGTAAATAATTTTGAACGTCATTCCGTCGAATTGGAAATAATTAAGTAGTTAGGATTAAATTGTAGCAATTTCATAGTGCACAAGAAAGCTAAGAATTTCAAAAATTCTGTTCAATACTTAAATTGAAAACTTTGAAGGAAATTTAAACACTAAATTTCGATTAATTCTGACAAATTCGTAATTAATTCGTAAAAGATTCCAGAAACATGTTGGAATTTAATATTTTGAAAAAATTAGCTTGACCCCTACAACGTGAAAAATTCCAATGTGTATGAAACAATTATAAGAATTCTAAAAATTGTACATAAATAATTAATTCTGAAAGTAATTCTGTAGAATTCTGAAGAATTCCAGTAATTACAGATAAATTTAAGCAATTTCGTAATGCAAAAAAGTTGTAAGAATTTCAAAAATTCTGTCAAATAATTAAATTGAAAACTTTGAAGGTAATTCAGAGTCTAAATTTTGATTAATTCTAACAAATTTGTAATTAATTCGTGAACGATTCCAGAATAATGAAAAAATTAGCTTGAATTCCGAAAACTTGAGAAATTCCAGAGTGTATGAAGCAATTATAAAAATTCTAAAAACTCTGTAAATAATTTTGAAAGTAAATCAGTCGGATTCTAAATAATTACGTAATTAGGATCAAATTGTAGCAATTTCAAGTGCACAGGAAAGCTAAGAATTTCAAAAATTCTGTCCAATAAATAAACTGAAAACTTTGAAGGAAATTCAAACACAAAATTTTGATTAATTCTGACAAATTCGTAATTAATTCGTAAATGATTCCAGAAATATGCTCGAATTTAATATTTTGAAAAAATTAGCTTAAATCCCAGAACGTGAGAAATTCCAATGTGTATGAAACAATTAAAAGAATTCTAAAAATTCTACATAAACAATTAATTCTGAAAGTAATTCTGTAGAATTCTAACGAATTCCAGTAATTACAGATAAATTTAAGCAATTTCGTAATGCAAAAAAGTTGTAAGAATTTCAAAAATTCTGTCAAATAATTAAATTGAAAACTTTGAAGGTAATTCAGAGTCTAAATTTTGATTAATTGTAACAAATTTGTAATTAATTCGTGAACGATTCCAGAATAATGAAAAAATTAGCTTGAACTCCGAAAACTTGAGAAATTCCAGAGTGTATGAAGCAATTATAAGAATTCTAAAAACTCTGAAAATAATTTTGAAAGTAAATCAGTCGGATTCTAAATAATTACGTAATTAGGATCAAATTGTAGCAATTTCAAGTGCACAGGAAAGCTAAAAATTTCAAAAATTCTGTCCAATAAATAAACTGAAAACTTTGAAGGAAATTCAAACACAAAATTTCGATTAATTCTGACAAATTCGTAATTAATTCGTAAATGATTCCAGAAATATGCTCGAATTTAATATTTTGAAAAAATTAGCTTGAATCCCAGAACGTGAGAAATTCCAATGTGTATGAAACAATTAAAAGAATTCTAAAAATTCTACATAAATAATTAATTCTGGAAGTAATTCTGTAGAATTCTAAAGAATTCCAGTAATTACAGATAAATTTAAGCAATTTCGTAATGCAAAAAAAGTTGTAAGAATTTTAAAAATTCTATCAAAGAAATAAATTGAAAACTTTGAAATTAATTCAAAGTCTAAATTTTTATTAATTCTAACAAATTCGTAATTAATTCGTGAACGATTCCAGAATAATGCTCGAACTTAATCTCGAAGAAATTAGCTTAAATTCCCAGAACTTGGAGAAATTCTGTATTCTATGTATGAAGCAGTTATAAGAATTCTAAAAAATCTATATAAGTAAATGATTTTGAAAGTAATTCAGTCAAATTCCAAAGAAATCCAGTAATTACAGATAAATGTTAACAATTTAGTAGTGCACAAAAAGCTGTAAGAATTTCAAAAATTCTGTCAAAAAAATAAATTGAAAACTTTGAAGGTAATTAAGTTTCTATTAATCCTAACAAATTCGTAATTAATTCGCAAACGATGCGAATAATGTTCGAACTTAATCTTAAAGAAATTAGCTTGAAATCCTAGAACTTGAGAAATTCCAGTCTGTATGAACCGATTAGAAGAATTCTAAAAAAAAATATATAAATAAATAATTTTGAAAGTAATTCAGTGGAATTCCGAAGAATTCTAGAAATTACAGATAAATTTTAGCAATTTCATAGCGCACAAAAAACCTGCAAGAACTTCAGAAATTCTGTCCAATAAACAAATTGAAAACTTTGAAGGAAATTAAAAACTAAATTTCGATTAATTCTAACAAATTCATAATTAATTCGTAAACGATTCCGGAATAATGCTCGAATTAAATCTTGAAGACATCTTGAATTCCCCAGAACTTAAGAAATTCCAGTGTGTATAAACCAATTATAAGAATTCTAAAAATTCCATATGAATAAATAATTTTGAAAGTAATTCTGTAGAAATCTAAAAAATTACAATAATTAAAGTTACATTTTAGTCATTTCACAGAATACAAAAAAACTGTAAGAATTTCAAAAATATTGTCCAATAAATAAATTGAAAACTTTGAAAGCAAATCAATGACTAAATTTCGCTTAATTCTAATAAATTCGTAATTAATTCGTGAAGGATTCCACAATAATGCTCGAACTTAATCTTGAAGAAATTAGCTGGAATTCCCAGAACTTGAGAAATTCCAGATTGTATGAAGCAGTTAGGTACAAGAATTATAAAAATTCGATATAAATAAATAATTTTGAAAGTAATTCAGTCGAATTCCAAAGAATTCCAGTAATTACAGACACATTTTAGTAATTTCATAGTGTCCAAAAACGCTGTAAAATGTCAGAAAGTTTGTCAAATGAATTGATAACTTCGAAGGTAAATCAAACTTAAAGGCTCGATTAATTCCAAGAAATTCGTGATTAATTCGTAAGCGGTTTCAGAATAATGCTCATGTGTTTTAATCTTGATGAAATTAGCTTTTATCCCCCAGAACACGAAAAATTCCAGTGTGTATAAAGCAATTATTCTAAAATTCTATATAAATAAATAATTTTGAAAGTAATTTAATCGAATTCTAAAGAATTCCAGTAATTACAGTTAAATGTTATCAATTTCATAGCGCACAAAAGAACTGTAAGAACTTCAAAAATTCTATCTAATAAATAAATTGGCAACATTGAAGGTGACCAAATTCCGATTACTTTCCATTAAGTCATAATTAATTCGTAAACGATTCCAGAATTATTTTCGAACTTAATCTTGAAGAAATTAGCTTGAATTCCCAAAAGTTGAGAAGTTCCAGCGTATATAATGTAATTTTAAGAATTCTAAAAATTACATATAAATAAATAAATAATTCTGAAAGTAATTCAGTCGAATTCCGAATAATTCCAGTAATTACAGATATATTTTAGTAATTTCATAGTGCTCAAAAATGTTGTAAAATGTGAGAAACTTTGTCATATAAATTCATAACCTCAAAGTTTAAATCTTGATTAATTCCAAGAAATTCGTAATTAATTCGTAAGGGGTTTCAGAATAATGCTTTTAGGTTTCTTAATCTCGAATAAATTAGCTTTTATCGCCCAGAACTCGATAAAATTTCAGTGTGTATAAAGCAATTATTTCAAAATTCTATATAAATAAATAATTTTCAAAGTAATTTAATCGAATTCAAAAGAATTCCAGTAATTACAATTAAATTTTAGCAATTTCATAGCTCTCAAAACAGCTGCAACAACTTTAAAAGTTCTATACAATAAATAAATTTAAAACTTTGAAGGTAATTCAATGACTAAATTTCGATTAATTCTAATTAATTCGTAAACGATTCCAGAATAATGTCCAGGGTTCTTAACGTTGAAGAAATTGGCTTGAATTCCCCGGAGTTTGAGAAATTCCAGTGTGTATAGAGCATTTTACGAATTCTAAATACATATTACAAATAAATAACTTTAAAAGGAATTCGAAAAATTCCTGTAATTACAGACAAATTTTAATAATTCCAAAGTGCACAAAAAAGCCTGTAAAATAAAAAAAAAATTGTCAAATAAATTGATAATTTTGAAAGTAATTTAAGATTAATTTTCGATTAATTAACAAATAATTTGTAAACGATTCTAGAATAAAGCGTAAACAAAGTAACTAATGCGATATTAACATTGACAACAACTAAAAAATTAAAGACCACTGTTTTAACTTTTTACAACATGCATTTAAACCGTATTATTTTTTCTTCCCCTGAAGTTTAAAAAAATAGGTCTTCCATTTCCGTCTATCTGTCGTCTGAGTCGATTTTTATTATACAAATAACCTTCGAAACCACCAAACCGATTGTTGTCAAATTTTCGACGCATGTTAGAAATGATAAAACGCTAACCAAAATTTGTTTAATTATTCCCTCCAACAATTTGATGGAGTCACCGCAAAATTTGAATGGTAAATTTTATAAAATAAGATACCCCTGTACTTGTGGTTTATGAAACAGCCCTGGGACTCATATTTAAAAAAAAATAATCGAAATTCAGAAAGCTTTCGTTACGCGCGCGTTAATAACGCGAAAATTGGGTTTTCGATACCCTCACGAAGAAGACGAGAGAAGCTGGATCTTTATTAAAACCCAGTTCGTCGATTAATTTTAATCTTTTGGAGCCTCTTCACATTTATAATTTAAATTTCGCGCGACGTTCACACGCCACCTTCTGGTAAAACACTTAACAAAAAGAAACCAATCGATAAAAAAAAAAACCGGTAACGTGAATTTGACACATTTGAAACAAAAATCAAAAAACAAGTCAAATATCAAAACATGGACTTCAGTCCAACATTAATCAATTAACGCTAAATCTCTCTGAGTTCCTCCGTCGTTGGAAATTTTGTTTCCGCATTCAACACATCCGACATAACCTCAAAGTCGACAACATGCTGAGACTCTCGGGGTTTAGCGTCGCCGCAGCTGGAGCCAAAACAGGCGAAGCTTTGAAAAAAGTCAACGAAAAATTGACCCAGAAAGTCAGCGGAACATTCATTGAACGATTCGTAAATTATTTAAAAAATGTCTACATCGATTATAGGGAAGTGGCGATCCAAGTCAGGAGCGACATCAAGCAGAAACCCGTAAAAGCGACCTTCTTTTTCACGGGGATGGGTTTCTTAATGTATAGCATGACACATAACCCCAATGCACAAAGCTTTCGGGCTAAATTCATACAGTGTTCGAATGAAGTGTCTTTAGTAAGTTTACCCTTAGTGAAACCTGGTGCTGTTGAACATTTGAAGTTTATACAGACGTGTTATAACCGTGACTTGATCAGACATACAAGTTTCGGGCTTTTTTCCATCATTTGGGTGGATAAATATAGTGATCAGTGTGATGTATATGAGACGAATTGTTCATATTTGAAACTGCCATATAGAAAGATAGCGAGTCAGGTTATTGATGTTGGGTTTATAAACATTTGGTGGGTGATTTCGCGTAAAATGTTAGACTATGATATAAACTATTGATTTTGTGAAAAATAAAATTGTAAATAAACTTACCTTGAGTGAATTCTCTTCTGCACACTTGTCAGGATTACCTGCTATAGTTTTGGGTACTGGACTCATATCTCTAGCACCTGAATCCCACTCCCACCTATCAAGTTTTCCTGTAAAATGGCAACTCAATCACTCTCTTTTACTTTTAAAATTGTTAAAAATATACCTTGACTAATTTCGCTTGAGTTGTCTTTAGTTGTGCTTTTTAGAGCATCAATTTCAGGTCTTAATGCCAGTCTTCTTTGTAGAAACTGTGCATATGAGATTCTTCCCTGAGCGTCAGCTCCAAGTTGAAGCATAAGTTCGTCAAGAGAGTCTTCTAGACTAAGCTCTCGACAAATTGCAAGCAAATCTTGACTATAAAACAACCACAAAATATAGACATGTAAATTAATTAGTACAAATTTCTACCTATCAATGTAACCATCTCCATTAGCATCACACGCTTGAAACAATCTCCTCACGCGTTCTTCGTCACAAACAGAGCTAGCGCTCTCACTAGCACAGTCTGTTTCGGCCATAACCCTAATAATTTATTGTCATTTTTCCAAATTGGTGTTCATTGATTTTTTAAAGTGAAAAATAGGAACTTTTGGTGTTGCCTTTTTCAGTTGCGTATTCTTTATTCATCCGTTGAAATTACTTTCAACAATTTCCATGCAATTGTTGTTTTTTGTATGTAAACAATCACAAAAAATTCACAAAGGGGAAATGTCAACGAAATGTCATTGTCAATGTGATAACTACAGTGCCATCTTGTGGTTTGGTTGGTATTCCTGCTTGTCAAAATTGTTAACTTTTAAGAGATACATTTGAAATTCGAGTTGTTTATTGTAAATTCAATATTATTACAAATCCAGTTGTTCAACAAGAGGTAAGAAACGTTATATAAATATTTTAAATGCTGTCTGTAACAGAATATAGAAAAATATAACACTTTTGTAACTACTAAGTGAAATGTAGGTGTACAGAGTTTTTAATCATTTCTTTTCTTTTTGCTGGGGCTTTCGTCAGACGATCCTTCTCCGTCAGACTTCCGTTTGCTGCCTCTTACTTCGTCGTCAGATTCATCGGATGACTCCTTCTCTCCAGACCCCAGTTTTTCCTCAAATTTAGAAATGCTTTTCTTAATTTTACTGGCGTCAGGGCTGTAACCCCACAAAATCAACTTCATGTGTTCTTCAGTAGGCAAATCGTCCTTCCATAAATTGGGTTTGTTGTCTTCAATGTCTTTCAATAATTTTTTCAGCTCAGTGTTCCTCACAATGTCCCAAGTTGGTTCATTTTCGCCACTGGAAACTGTTCTCAAGTTCTTGTACTCACCACTAGCTTCTTTATAGGCGTTGTAGAAAGACTCCACCTGGGGGTCGTCTATTTTGTACTGTTTTTTAAGAGGTAGCAAAGCCTTGATGGCGTTCAATGGCAAATAGGAACGGTTTTCCTTCGACGAACCGTTTTTCTCAAAATTGTTCAGCCATTCGTCAAAAACGGCCATCGCTTCATTTATATTCTGAAGCTTTTCTTTGTCTTTGGTTACTGAAATAATTAAAACGAATTTAATTTTTGTGTATTTAATCATAAAGATAATGGCGCAATAAATTACAGCCGCCGTCGAAATTTAATGTGTTAAGGGTGGGCGTGAATGTGTAAAAAATACCGTGTGGAAGTGAGCTTCAACAACACGTCACATTTTGGCGGTTAAACACCGCGTTTAAATTAGTTGTTTTTAAATAGCTTTTACTTCTTTTGAATCGTGTCCACAAAAAACGATTCCGCTTTTTCACGTTAATTTAAGATATTTTTACTTACAAGTTAGGGTGCGTTTAGCCCTTCCGATCAACCCCTTGATGGCCAGTTTTTGGTAATCCGGATCCCTCCCTTCTAAATTTTTTATCGTTTCCAGAGCCTTTTCCTTATCTTTAAATCCCAAACCGGGAACGGTATCTGCCTTTGCCTCGGACATTTCCTCTGCAACCGATAATTTCATCAGTAAAGTGCTTTACATATAATAAAAATATATATTTTCTACCTTGCAGCCGCAACGAAGTTATAACTTGGAGTGTTCACTGAACGTGAGCCGCTTCTCGGTTGAAATACAAAAATTAGAAATTCGGTTTCCACTTCTCATCGTAGTCCGCACCCGGAAGAGACGGAGCGGCACTTGGAAACGGCTAAAATTAATCGTTACACGTGAAGGTCGTAAGTATGTGGTTCGATCAAAATTGTGAGCAGAGTATGACAAAATATCTAAACTCGGTTATTACGTCATAATTTAAGCAATGTTGAAAGTTCTTGACATTCGTAACGTCTTGAATAATTATTAATAATAAACATTAGGTGGATCGTAACAAATTTTAATAAATAATTCAAATCGTTGAGCATTTCGTATTTATAGATTTTGTTATGCTTAAATTAAACTTGGCGTACGTTTCGGGTATTTTTCGATTGGTGAGTAAATGGTGCCGCCGCCAATCAGAAAACGGGATTGTTAAATTCAAATGTGTCCCGGTTGGAGTGAGTAATTACTAAAACAAGTGTATTATCTAAGTAATTGTTTTATTTTTGTATTTATCTTACAATGGTATTTACAAGAGGTTTATGCAATGGAGGAAATTAAAACAACTATAAAATTCCACACGTGTCGGTAAACACGGCTCAACATTGTTGCAAACAGGCTCTTAATCGCACCTGCGGTTGTATCACGCTTCGAACTTAAAAGTAAAACGCATTTTCACCCAAGTAGCCTAAGGACAAAAATAAAATTTGGGACGACATTCGAAAATTTACACATATACGCGCCAGATGTCCACCTTCCATCCATGGCAGGTGTTTACGTACAAATTCACACATTTATTAATACTTTGTGGTTATTTATAAATAGCGTTTCGTCACAGTTATCGTTTATAATTTTCTTTTATTATTTGCATTAAGGCAATCCAAATATCTTGCAACATCACCATCCGTAACAACAAGTCTAAATATAGACATCCTGCCATCGCACGAGTATTGTGTGTTGCCTAGCCGACGCAAGACGCAAGCGGCTGTCATTTTTTTACAGTTCAGTTGTTTCAAGTTTCCTCCGCGGTAAAGCCGGAGGTAAAGTCTGATACACATTTTGCGGTCGCACGTTATTATTAACATGCTGTAGATTATTACAGTGGGGAAGCTCGCCACAGCTGACCACGTTTTCGTCCAAGGAGTCGTGCTCCGAGTTTTGGCTGCAAAACACACTGTAGAATGTTCTATATTAAATATGTGTTAATTAATTACCTAAATTCATCAGCGTTTTTGTACCATTCGTTTTCGTAAGCTTGCATCCATATGGGGTTGCTTCCTTCCATGCTGTGTTTGTTGGTGTTGGGGACCCTGCCACTCAAGGCACTAAGTCCACGGCCGTCAAGATCGGAATCTGCGTGTACTAAAAATATGTTAATTTTTTTTTGTTTGGGATGAAAATTGTACTGACCATAAGCGGTGGCGGTGGCTGCTTTTAGTTTTCTGTGGTAGGTTTGTCTTTGGTTGATGCATAAAGCGAGGCACAAGAGTAGAAGCAGCAAAAGGAATAAAGTCGCTGCTGTTAACCAGAAGGTGGTGTTAGCACCTTTGGCGATTTTTAGGGCGAGGCTTCCTCCTGGTTGTGTGTCCAAAACGTTGAACTCCTACAAGAATGATTAATTATAATTAGCCACTGTGAAAATCTTCAAAAAAAGAAATTAGTTCCTTTGCTTTCTTTCAATTAATTCAATTTGTAATGAGTGTTCAAAGGATATATCCTCCACTCACTGTAACTTTCAGTTAAATAAATAAATTATATTAAAAAAAATTTGGTCGAAAGTTATTTCGATAGAACTTCCCTCTATTCTAATTAATTGTTTTTGCGATTTTTCTTTTCTGATAACCTCTAGAAAGTACAATCCAGTTGCGTAAATGACTGTCCCGCAGTTTTTTGAACTGAATTTCTCAATACTTCATTTTTTTTTCTGTTTGTCGATTTGCAATTTTTTGAGTTTTCAAGTATAAATTTTTCAATGTTTTGATTATATATCAGGAGTGAAGGAAGTCCAATTTAAATGACTTTAGACCAATGCTTAGAATAGATACAAATATGTATCCAATTTTCCAACTTTTGATTTTTCCAATTTTTATATTTTTCGATTTTTCAATTTGCAAGTTTTCGTTTTGTTTTTTTTATTTTTTCATTTATTCGATTTTTCAATGTTCGGATTTTATCATTTTTTGTTTTTTCAATTTTTCGCTTCTTGAATTATTCGGTTTTTTTTGTTTGAGTTTTCAATTTTTAATTTTCCAATTTTTTGATTCTTTAATTTTTCTTTTCCTCAAATTTTCGATTTGGAGTTTTTCGTTTCGGTTTTTTAATTTCTTTATTTTAACAATTTTTCGATTTTTCCATGTTCCGAATTATAATTGTGTTTTTTCAATTACAATTTTTTCAGTTTTTCACTTTTTTTCTTTCTTTAATTCTACGATTTGTAACTTCGAGTTTTCATTTTTAAATTCTCAGTTTCAATTTTCCAACTTTAGGATATTTTAGTTTTTAATTTTTCAATTTTTCAATTTTCGATTTTTCATTTCGTTTTCTTTATTTTTTCATTTATTCGATTTTTCAATGTTCGGATTTTATCATTTTTTGTTTTTTCAATTTTTCGCTTCTTGAATTGTTCATTTTTTTTCTTTTTTCAATTTTTTGATTGTAAAATTTTTCTATTTAAAATTTATAAGTTTTCAATTCTTAATTTTTAATTTTTTTGATTTTTTAATTCTTCATTTCTTCAAATTTTCGATTTGGAATTTTTCGTTTCGGTTTTTTAATTTCTTTATTTTTACAATTTTTCAATTTTCCCATGTTTCAAATTATAATTGTTTGTTTTGTCGAGTACAATTTTTTCAGTTTCTCACTTTTTTTGTTTCGTAAATTCTACGATACGTAACTTCGAGTTTTCATTTTTAAATTTTCAGTTTCGATTTTTCATTTCTTCAATTTTTCGAATTGCAGTTTTTCATTTCGGTTTTTTATTCACTTTTTCAGTCAATTTTTGGATTTCTCAATTTTTCGATTTACAATTTTTCTTTTCTTCGATTTTATGACTTGTAACTCTCTGAGTTCTCATTTTTCAATTTTTTGGTTTTCCAACTTTTGGGCGTTTGGATTTTTGAGATTTTTTAATTTTTGGATTTTCTATTTTTCATTTCCTCAGTTTTTCGAATTGCAGTTTTTCATTTCAATTTTTTTCTTTATTTTTTCAATCAATTGGATTTTTCAATTTTGCAATTTTTCATTTCTTCAAATTTTCGATTTGTAATTTCTTGTTTCGGTTTTTCATTTCCTTTATTTTTGCAATTGTAAGATTTTTCCAATTTCAAATTTTTCAATTTTTCGTTTTTTTAGTTTTTCGATTTCTAATTTTTCAATTGTTTCATTTTTTCGTCAATCTTAGTACTTGCAACTCTTCGAGTTTTCATTTTAAAATTTTTCAATCTTTGGGTTTTCCAACTCATGGATGTTTCAATTTGTAGATATTTCAATTTTTCATTTCTTCAATTTTTTAAATTGCAGTTTTTCATTTCGTTTTTTTCTCTTTCTTTTTTCAATTAATTTGTAGATTTTTCAGTTTTTCGAATTACAATTTTTCGGCTTTCAATTTTTCGATTTTTCAATGTTTGGATTTTTCAACTTTTCGTTTCGTTTTCTATATTTTTTGAATTATTCGATTTTTCATTGTTCCGTTTTTGGATTTAATCAGTTTATGGTTTATCAATTTTCGGTTTCTTCAATTTTTCATTTTTTTGTTTCTTCAATTTTTAGATTTTGGAATTTTTCGATTTAAAATTTCTCGAGTTTTCAATTTTTAATTTTCCAATTTTTTCGATTCTTTAATTTTTCATTTTTTTAATTTTTTCCATTTTTCCATGTTCCGAAATATAGGTTTGTTTTTTCAATTACAATTTTTTAAATTTTTCATTCAATTTTTCGATTTGCAATTTTTCAATTTTCCAGTTTTTTTTTTGTTTTGTCAGTTTTACGATATGTAACTTCGAGTTTTAATTTTTTAATTTTTGAGTTTCGATTTTCTAACTTTTGGATGTTTCAGTTTGTAATTTTACGATTTTTCGATTTTCAGTTTTTCATATCATCGATTTTTCAAGTTGCAGTTTTTCATTTCGGTTTATTTTCTTTACTTTTTCAATTTTTCATTTCTTCAAATTTTCGATATTTCGATTTTATAATGTTTTGTTTTTTCAATTTTTAATTTTTTTTTTCTTCAATTTTACGACTTGCAACTTTTCGAGTTTTCGTTTTTAAATTTTTAGAGTAAATTTTCGGTTTTCCAACTTTTGGATGCTTCAGTTTTTAAAATTTGCAATTGTTTGATTGCAATTTCACGAGTTTTCAATTTTTAATTTTTCGTTTCTTCAATTATTAGATTTGCAATGTTTCGTTTCGTTTTTTATTTTCTTTATTTTTTCAATCAATTTATGGATTTTTTAATTTTTCATTCCTTCAAATTTTCGATTTGCAAATTCTCGTTTCGGTTTTTCATTTCCTTTATTTTTACAATTTTTCGATTTTTCAATGGGATTTTATAAATTTTTGCTTTCCAATTTAAAATTTTTAATTTTTCGTTTGTCCAATGTTTCGATTTGCAATTTTTCAATTTTTTATTTATTTTTTCTTCAATTTAACCACTTACAAGACTTCCAGATTTCATTTTTAAATTTTTCGGTGTTCCAACTTTTGGATGTTTTAATTTTTCGAATCGGAGTTTTTCATTTCGGTTTCTTATTTTCTTTTTTTTTCATTCAATTTTTGGGTTTTCAATTTTTCAATTTACAGTTTTTCGGTTTTCAATTTTTCAATTTTTCAGTTTTTTATTTCTTCAAATTTTCGATTTGCAATTTGTCGTTTCAGTTTTTCATTTTCTTTATTTTTACAATTCTTCGATTTTTCAATGTTTCAATGTTATAATTTTTTGTTTTTCCAATTTGAAATTTTTCAATTTTTCGGTTTTACAACTTTTGGTTGTTTCAATTTTTTATTTTTTTATTTTTCAATTTTTCGTTTCGGTGTTTTATGGTCATTATTTTTTAATTTTTCGGTTTTTCGATGTTCTGATTTTATGATTTTTCTTATTTTCAATGTGAAAATTTTCACTTTTTGGATTTTTTGAATTCGTCGATTTTTCGATTTTTCAACTTTAAGGGCCAGTTTATACAATATTTTAACCGAGATTAAGTTAATCCCGCATTTAGAGAGGTGTTTAACGCCGTCTGATTGGCTTAAAATCGGTCACGTGGTACTTTAACACCGTGTTCAAGATTTAATCCCAATCAAAAATTCAATTGTGCTTCTGTAAACCGGGTCTTAGATTTTTTAATTATTCAATTTTTCAATTTAAAATTTTTCAGTTTCTCGATTTTTGAATTTTTCGTTTATTCAGTTTTTGATTGGCACTTTTCTAGTTTTCATTTCAAATATGTAAAATATTGGAATTTTAAAAATTTAACATTTTTTCAATTACTTGATTTTAAAACTTTTTCCTTTAATCGATTTTTCAATTTTTCATGTTTCAATTTGTGGATATTAAATTTTCCAATTTTTAGATTTTTCAATGTGATAGTTGTTCGACTTCACAATTTTGACAATTTTACAATTTTTGGTTTTTCCAATTTTTCGACTTGATTCGTTTTTTCTTCTTGCCAATTTTTCGATTAATTAATTTATTTCGACTTTTAGTTTTTCAATGTTTCAATTTTTCCTTTCTTCAGTTCTCCGATTTGAAATTTTTCGATTTTTCACTTTTTTGATTTTTCACTTTTTTACGATTTCGTAAATTTTTGGATGTTTAATTAAAAACGAAAAAGTATAAAATAAAAACTATAAAAAACCTAAAAATTGGAAATCTAGAACTTAAAAAATTGCAATATGTTGGTATTTTTTCCAGTAGTTTCGGAGATTATCCGTCTAATAAAAATTCTAACGGACGACAGACAGGCAGAGAGAACAATGGAGTCGATTACAATACTTGCCTAGCTTACTCTCAAGGAGTAAAAAAAAATGATTTGGCAGAAATAATGTTATTGGCCATCCGGCTCGAAGGACCATTTTATTTTATTACCTTGAATAACCCGTCTAGTTTTTCCGTATTCTGATCTACTAATCTCAGAACTTCATCTACTTCTATAATCGAGTTGTCTCGTCTGTCCACTAGATGCAAGTACAAATCTGTTCTGGTTTTGTCTATAGTACCATCATGGTTGGCATGGACACGAAATTCATCGACGTTCACAATCGCTCCGGTCACGTTGCCCAAAATTCTAAAAATAAATCATTATTAGGGTGTCCACACTATCATAGTCTTGTTTACTCTCTAAAAGCCTCAATTTTGTTCCTCAATTCGGGGGGTTGTTGCCTCAAAACAAACCTAACTCTTTGGTCGGCTCTTAAAAGATAAATGAAAACTCTAGCCATATCTTGAAGACCCCCTGTATCATTCACCAACACCATGAAGTCAAAATAGCCTTTCATGCCTTGCTGAGGGTCAAAATTTAATTGTATAGCGCCTGTGTCTCTGTCGACCAAAAACGGCTCCCTTTTTAAACTGTCTAAACCTTCGGTGAGGGTCATTTGGATTTTTCCGATGAGGTAGTAGGACACGATTGCGTTTTTCCCTAGATCGGCGTCTTCAGCCTATAATCGAAAATCGTACCAATAATACTATGAATAGTTGTGATTTAATTTACTACCTTCACTTCCATGAACGTCGTTCCAAAGCTAGTGGCGGTGCTGACACCCCCTGTGAATACCCTGTGGATAAACTGCGGTGGGTTGTCATTAACATCTAACACCTTGACCAACACTTTTAATTGGGTGTCATCTGAAGCATCAAAGAAACTTTCGTTCCGTGGTGGCTTTGAACAATCTTCAGTGGCCTTAATTAAAAGCAGATGACTATCCTTTTCTTCACGGTCTAAAGGTCTAGTAACCTAGGAGAATATTTTAATCAAGGAAGACAATAATTACAAGTGGAGAGTACCGTTAAGAGATGTTCGATAGGTCGCAATTTAAATAACCCATTTTCATTGCCACCTACTATGAAGTAGCAAATTGGGGTAAACGGACCGTCAAATTCCATCTCGTCTCTATCCACGGTTTCAGGCAGGAGTCTACTTTCCACTCCCGCGATCTTGTTTTCTGGAAATTTGAATACAGGTTTGATTGATTTTGATAAGAGATTAGTACCTGTGAAGTTGGTTGTAAATTCATCTACTAGAAACTGTGGTTGGTAGTCGTTGATGTTGCTTACGTAGATCGTGAGATCTAGGTCTGAACTGAGTGACGGGACTCCAAGATCGTAAGCTTCGATTCTGATCTACATACAAATTGGGTTATTAACGTGATATTTAAAGTCGGAGTGACTTACGTCGTAAACTTTTTGCTTTTTTCTGCTTAGTGGTAACCTTAATTCCAAAATTCCTGAAACCGGTTGTAAATTGAAACTCTTCCAATGTCCGGCAGGGTCAACTTTTAGACGATATCGGACTACACCGTTAGCCCCGACGTCTTCATCTGTAGCGACTATTTTAACCAACGCGCTTCCAACAGTGGCGTTCTATTAAACACAGACTGAATTACTTTTTTTCGAGGGATGTGATTTACCTCTGGGACGCGAAGGGTCGAATTGTGTGGAGGGCTGACAAATAGAGGCGGATGGTCGTTAAAATCGGTAACACAAATGTGAATGGGTTCCTCCACCAAGTGACTCGGTGTCCCCAAATCCTGTGCCCTTATACTAAGAGTGTAGTTTCCATGTCTCCCTCTCAACGACGTCGTCGTCCTCAGTTCAGCCGTCCATTCACTGATTTGTTGAAGCGCGAAAAAATTCTTTTGATTGCCGTCAGATATGTCGATGATCACCTATTTTCGAAAAATCGTTCAATAAAGAAAAAACGCTCCGGTGCGTATCTACCTGTCCGTTTGATGTATTTGGATCATCGGCGTCCGAAGCGTGAAATGTGGTAATGGTTTGCCCCGGTTCATGAAATTCCGTGATGTTGATGCAGTAAGGCGGAACAAGGATTTGCGGAGGGTTATCATTAACATCTAGGATGGTCACGCTGAAAGCGGTTAATTAATTGGTGGTTCGCGTTTTTGTGCAGATTTTACTTGATGTGTTTGAAGGCGTTTCGGCTCTCGCCGCTGCTGAAACCGTATTGGTAGTTGTCCCAGGCTTCGATTACGAGCAGGTAGTTTTGTTTTTCCTCTCGATCTAATCCGTCAGATACTTTTAGAATGCCGGTGTCAGCATCCAGACTGAATTTTCCTTGAGATGAGAGCCGATCGAGCAAATAGGTGATTTTTCCGTACTCGCCGGAATCGGAATCGCGAGCTTCGATTATTGCGACTTGTCTACCCACTGTGGTGTCTTCGGATATCAGCAGAGATTGCGGTTCCAGCAGGAAGTAGGGATTATTGTCGTTTTCGTCTAAAATTTGGATGAAAATTTCCACTCGGGAAAAGCGCGGGGGAAAGCCTGAGTCAGTTGCTTTAACCTGCGAACGACAATTTTCTTAAAACGGGAGTGGGAATGGCTACGGGGTTTAAACTGAATCCCTCAGAGGTCGGTAAAATTTAGCTACTATAAGACTGGTGAAATAGTAGTAATGAAATGAAAAACTATCTCATTAAATGAGTGAGAACAACTTTTACTTTCGGATGGAGTACCGTTTGATTTACGTTCCACTTTGACCTGGCGGCGCAGAAAACTCATTTTATGTGAGACTATTCCCGATGGTGTTGTTAGTTACCAGTTAGTCGTGTTAAAATTCCATTTTTGCTTCCCGAGTCTAAACTAAGGACGTATGGTAATCGGGTCCAACCGACGATGGCCGTTTCGTGTATTCTCGACGTTCATGACTTCTAGAAAATGAAAAAATGTGTCTCCGTTTGTGTCTCTTTGTCTGTCTGCCGTCTGAGGTCCATTCGTCGTGAAATTCTAACGCGAATTCTCTCATCCAAAATGCGATTTTTGATTTTATTTCTCAGTTTTTCAATTTGTCATTTTTTTCAGTTTTTCAATTTTCCAACTTTTAATTTTCCAATTTTTAGATTTTGCAAATTTTCGATTTGAGTTTTCAATTTTTAATTTTTCAGTTTTCCGATTTGTAATTTTTCGATTCGTTTTCTTTATTTTTTTCATTATTCGGTTTTTCAATGTTTCAATTATATACTTTTTTTTTGTTTCATCAATTTTTACATTTTGCAATAATTTCCCCTTTTAAAATTTCTGGAGTTTTCAATTTTTAAATTTTCAATTTTTTGATTCTTTAATTTTTCAATTCGTCAAATTTTCGATTTGCAATTTTTCGTTTCGGTTTTTTGTTTTCTTTATTTTTTTAATATTCGGATTTTTGCATGTCCCGATTTATAATTTTTTGTTTTCTCAAGTTCAGTTTTTTCAATTTTGCGGTTCTTCCGTTTTACGATGTGCAACTTCGAGTTTTCATTTTTAAATTTTCAGTTTCTTGAATTTTTGACATTCGCATGTTCCAATTTGTAACTTTTAAATTTTTCGTTTTTTCAATTTTTCGATTTGCAATTTTTCATTTCGATTTTTCATTTTCTTTATTTTCTCAATTTTTCGGGTTTTCAATGTTGTGATTTTATAATTTGTTTTTTTCAATGAGAAATTTTTCGATTTTTGGATTTTTAAATTTTTCGATTTGCAATTTTTCGGATTTCATTTTTCGATTTGCAGTTTTTCGGTTTTCAGTTTTTCGATTTTTCAACTATTAAGATTTAATAGTTGAAAAATTTTTCGTTTTTTCAATTTTAGATTTTTCATTTTCTCGATTTTTCATTTTTACGTTTCTTCAATTTTCTGATATGCAATTTTTCGTTTCTTTTTCTTTATTTTTTCAGTTATTCGATTCTTCAATTTTTCGATTTGCGATTTTTTAATTTTTCAATTTTTAACTTGTTCAGTTTTTAGATTTTGCAATTTGTCGATTCAAAATTACTGGAGTTTTCAATTTTTAAATTTTTTCGATTCTTTAATTTTTCGATTTGTAATTTTTCGTTTTAGTTTTTTATTTTCTTTATTTTTACTATTTTTCCATATTCCAATTTATTATTTTTTGTTTTTTCAACTTTAAGTTGTTCAATTTTTTGTTTCTTCTTTTTTTCGGGTTTCCAATGTTCAGATTTTATAATTTGTGTTTTTTCAATGTGAAATTTTTCAATTTATGGATTTTTCAATTTTTCGAATTGTAATTTTTCGGTTTTCAATTTTTCGATTTGAAATTTTTCAGTTTTCCATTTTTGTATTTTTCAAATTTTAATTTTTAATTTTTCCTTTCTTCTATTTTAGATTTTTCATTTTCTCGATTTTTCAATTTTTCGTTTCTTCAGTTTTTGATTTGCAGTTTTTCTTTCCGTTTTCTTTTTTTTTTTAATTATTCGATTCTTCACTGTTTAAATTATGTTTTTTTGTTTTTTCAATTTTTCGATTTTCGGTTTTTCAGTTTGTCATTTTTTTGTTTGTTCAATTTTTAGATTTTGCAATTTTTCCATTTCAAATTTGTGGAATTTTCAGTTTTTAATTTTTCAATTTTTCCATTCTTTAATTTTTCATTCAAGTTTTCGATTTACAGTTTGTCGTTGTGGTTTTTTATTTTCCTTTTTTTTACAATGTTTCGATTTTTTCATGTTCGATTTTATAATTTTTTGTTTTATCAACTTTAATTTTTTCACTTTTTCGTTTCTTCAATTTTTCGATTAACAATTATTAATTTTCGTGTTTTTTTTTGTTTCGTCAATTTTATAATGCGTAATTTCGAGTTTTTCTTTTTAAATTTTCAGTTTTCTGATTTTCTACCTTTTGGAGGTTTTAATTTTTAATTTTTAATTTTTTGTTTTTTCAATTTTTCGATTTGCAATTTTTCATTTGTGCTTTTTATTCTCTCTTAGTTTTTCAGCTTTTCGCGTTTTCGATGTTCTGATTTTCTAATTTTTCAATTTTCGGATTTTAAAATTTTTGATTTGCAATTTTTCGGTTTTCAGTTTTTCGATTTGCAATTTCGCGGCTTTCATTTTTTCGGTTTTTAATTTTTCAATTTTTCAACTTTTAGATTTTTTAATTTTTCGTTTTTTCGATTTTAGATTTTCCATTTTCTCAATTTTTCTTTTCTTCAATTTTTGATTTGCAATTTTTTTAATTTTCATTTTAAATATGTAATAATAATTATAATTTTAAAAAGTTTTCACTTTTCCAATTTTACGATTTTATAATTTCTCCATTTTGTAATTGTTGGATTTTAAATCATTTTTATTTATTCAATTTTTTAATTTTTCAATTTGTCCATATTTAATTTTAATTTTTTGTTGTCTCGATTTTTCGTTTTTTTAGGTTCTCGATTTCCACTTTTTTAATTTTTCACAATTTTTCGTTTCTTCAGGTTTTCGACTTGCAAGTTTTCAATCCGATTTTTAAATCGATTTTGCAGTTCCTCAGTTTTTCCAATATTTTAATTATTCCAATTTTAGATTTATCAATTTTTTGATTTGCAATTTTTCAGGTTTTCATTTCCAATATTTTCAGTTTTTAGGTTTTACAATTTAAATTTAATTTTTTTAATTTTTAGATGTTAGAATTTTTCGAATTTGGAAGTTTTAGATAAATTTTTTCATTTTTCGTTGTTCTGATTTTTCGTTTTTCGTTTCTTTAATCTTTCGACTTAACAATTTTTCCATTTTACAATTTTCAAATGTTCAAATTTTTCTTTTCTTGTTTTTTCAATTTTTCAGTTTCCCGATTGTCAATTTTCATTGATTTTTTTTCATTTTTCGTTTCTTCATTTTTCCGACTGGCATTGGTTTTCGAATTTTTGAAGATTCTCCAGTTTTTCGTTTTACAATTTCTCATTTTTTCGATTATTCCGATTTTTCAGTTATTCCATTGTTCGATTTTTGAGTTTTCCGATGTTTAGTTGATAATTTTTCGATTCTATAGTTTTGTGATTTTCAATTTTTAGGGTTTTCAATTTTATATTTTTCAATTTTTAGATTTTACAATTTTTCGATTTTGAATTTGTGATATTTAGTTTTTCAATTTTTCGATCTTTGACTTCTACAGTTTTTTGACGATTTTCCAATTTTTGGGTTTTCCAATTTTTCGATTCATTAATATTTTTTGACTTTTAAGTTTCCCAATTTTTAGTTTTTCAATGTTTCAATTTTTCGTTTCCTCAGTCTTTGATTTTTCAACTTTTCGAATCAAAAAGATGGAAAAATTGCAAAAATGTAAAATTAAAAAATCAAAAACGGTAAAACGAAAAAGTATAAAATGAAAAAAAACTTTAAAAAACCTAAAAATTGGAAATCCAGAACTTAAAAAATTGGAGATACAAAAATTGAAAAATTGAAAGATTAAAAAATGAGAAACTTAATTGTCGAAATAGTAAAAATCGGAAAAACCAAATATTGCAAAATCGAAATATGGAAAATTAAAAAATTTGGAAAATCGGAGAATTGAAAAATCTAAACATTGGAAATTCAAGGAACTGAAAAATCAAAAATTGAAAATTTGAAAAATTGAATAGACGAAAAATCATAAAATCGGAAGAAACATCGAAAAAATACAGGAAATGAAAACAAAAATTGTAATATAAAATCAAAAAAATCGAGAAAATGAAAAATCAAAATCAAGAACTTGAAAAATTAAAAATTAAGAAACTGAAAAGTCGAAAAATAAAAAATTGTAATGTCTAAAAATTGCAAATCGAAAAAATGAAGAAACAAAAAACTGATGAAATTTGAAAAAACTAAAATTGAAAAACGAAAAATTATGAAAGCGAAACATTGCAAAATGGAAAAAGAGAAAAATTAAAGAAAATGAAACAACGAAAAATTGGTCGACGTTTCAAGTGAGTTTTCCCATTACAAAATTTTTTGATGACGTCATCAACATTTTTGCAAGGACACGTCTATCAATTTGGATAGATGCAGACAGATTATTAACTGTCTAATAAAAATTGGGGTAAACGACAGACAGACAGACAGACGGAAACGGGGACCTATTTTTTCATACTCTGGGGGTCATGAAACGTCGAAAAACATAAAAGTAGCCAGTCGTCCAAAGACTTCGTTTACAATATTTCGTAAGCTTACGCTCAGGAAGTAAAAAATTACATCGACTGTTGACTTCGCAACAAAAATCAATTGTCACTTACGCATCTTGCGTCACTGACCAACCGGAGAAAATTTTTCACGTTTTTTACCGACTTCTGAGGAGCGGGAACTTCGAGGTTAACAAACATCAAAAACATAATCAAAATAAACTACCGTTAAATTTAGCCATTCGTAAAGTTCATGGTCTATCTTGTTTGCAACAATTAAATCGCCAGAGTCGCTGTCCAAATGAATGAGTTCTGTTATTTCATAACGTCCATCAAGAGTGTAAGTTATTGTTTTGTTCTTATCAGCATCATCAGCCAACACATTACCGATTGTAACCCCATTCTTGCTGTTTTCAGTGATGGAGAACTTATAGAATGGCTTTTGGAATTTGGGGCTATTGTCATTAATATCTTCAATGACGATGGTGATTGTAGCTGAAGATTAGTAATTTTTTTCTAAAATATCAATGAAAACTGTGAATACTTACTAGTAGCTAGTTGTTTTCCGGTTTCGGACGCTGTGTCTTCTACGATTAATCCCATTTGTACCTTTTCTACTACTTCACGATCTAATTGTGTAGCAATAGTTAATACTCCGGAAGAGGGGTTCAAATGAAAAGTTTCACTACAATTAAAGTCGCTGGCTTTTAAAAGAACCCCTCTTTCGGTTTTAGCAGCACAGGCTTTGGGGTCGATCATGTATACCAAGTGGGCTGTGTTGTCCAGATCCTTAGCCTTCAGTTTGGCTATGACGCTACCAACCTACGAAAATCGGAATTAGCCAAAACTAGCGACAAAATAGTGTGTCTTACCGCCGTGTTTTCGCGCACTGTAATTGTATCGGGTTCATAGAACACCGGACTTTTATTATTAACATCCAATATGCTGACATTAACCGTAACCGCGGCCTGCAATTGATTTTCTCCGGGAGCTCCATCCAGGGCTACTACGTTTAAGGAATAATGCAACGTTCTGGGTTGGGTTAAGTCAGGATCTAACGAGGCTCCTCTCGCCACGGAAATAACGCCGCTCTCTGCCCCAATTATAAATTTATCGGCAGCTCCATTTTGAATTCTGTATACGATTCGATTGTTCGGGGAAGACCCGTCGAAATCCTTGGCTCTAACTTGGAGAATAGATGTGCCACCGGGGATATTCTCCGGCACGGATTTATTGTAGACGGAATACTCGAAGACGGGCGCGTGGTCGTTCACATCCTGGACATAAATATGCAATGGGACGTCGCTGAATAAGCTAGGATTGCCCCAGTCTCTGGCCCGAACGGTCAAATGCAACTGCCGGATGTTCTCGCTCGAGGAGCCCTCGAGGAGCTCGAAGTCGAGGGGCCCGACGGGCTTGATGACGCCGGAAGCGGGGTCCATGGTGAAGTTGTAGCCCAGTTCGCCGAAGACGGAGTACTCGATCTCGCTGTTTTTGGTCCCGTTTAGGTCCGCGTCTCTGGCTTCTACCTTGAGCGGGTTTTCGAAGTCGAGGCGGTTTTCGAGGAGGCGGGCTTCGTAGCGGCTTTGGGTGAAGATGGGGGCGTTGTCGTTGACGTCTTCGATGTTGATGATGAGTTGGACGGTGTTGCGGTTGCCGACGCCTAGGTCGTCGCGGGCCTCTACGGTTAGGTAGTGGCGGGACACTTGTTCACGGTCCCAGTTGGGACCGCCGGCTTTTTTCACCGAGATTACGCCGGTGGTGGGATGAAGGTCTAACCTGGGTTACCATGAATGTTAATTAGGCACTTATGTATTGGCCATTCTAGGTAAAATTAATTCGGAGCGTAAAAAAAACCCATTTTTGTTCCTAAACTCAAACAAAATAAGAAGTGGAAGAAGAATTGGTGTCAGAATTAGCTAAAAATGAGTTAAAGGCAAAAAGTTGTAAAATGTTACGGGTGCTAATTTGAATATTATTACTTTTGTCGTGTTTATGTTGTTTTGTTAAAGTAGTTTTTCATTGGCACCGATTTTTGAATGTTAAAAAATTATTCAATTTTTAGATTTTTCAAATTTTGAATTTTTCGATTTTTCTTTTCGATGTTTTGGTGTCCCAATTTTTAATTGTTTCATTTTTCATTTCTTCAGTTCTCCAGATTTTAAAATGTTGGATTTTAATTTTTCGGGTCCACGATTGTTAACTTTTAATTTTCTCGTTTAATTTTATAATTTTCCAATTGACTTGCAATTTTTCGATTTTACAATTATTTTTGGATATGTTAATTTTTTGTTGTCTCTCGATTTGCAATTTTTTCTCCAGTTTTTCGATTTTACAATCTCTCGATTTTTCAATTATTGCGATTTTCAATGATTCCATTTTTCTATTTTGTAGTTCTCCGATGTTTATTTTGCGATTCTTCGATTCTACAATTTTCTGATATACAATTTTTCTGGTTTTCAATTTTAAATTTATTAATTCTTAGATTTTACAATTTTTTGATTTTTCAGATTTTAATTTCATCAGTTTTTGACTTGCAATTTTTCAAGTTTTCAATGTTACGCTTTCCAATTTTTCGTTTTTTCAAATTTTTCATTTTTCAGTCTTTCAGTTTTTCTTTTCGATATTTTAGTGTCCCAATTTTTATTTTTTTTTAGTTTTCGTTTCTTCAGTTCTGCAGGTTTTAAATTTTTCGGGTCCTCGATTTTTAATTTTTTATTTTCTCGATTAATTTTTCAATTTTTCAATCGACTTGCAATTTGTCGATTTTACAGTTATTTTTAGATATGTTATTTTTCGTTGTCTCGATTTTTCGATTTTTTAGTTCCACGATTTTCATTTTTTAAATTTTTTTCCGGTGTTTCAATTGTTAGTTTCTTCACTTTTTCGACTTGCAATTTTTCTCCAATTTTTCAATTTTACAGTTTTTCGATTTTTCAATTATTGAGATTTTCCAATGATTCCATTTTTCGATTTTGTAGTTCTTCGATGTTTATTTTGGAATTCTTGGATTCTACAATTTTCTGATTTGCAATTTTTTGAGTTTACAATTTTACGATTTTTCGGTTTCAATTTTTGGATATTTTATTTTTTTGTTTTTTTGATTTTTCAATTGTTAATTTCATCAGTTTTTGACTTGCAATTTTTCGATTTACAATTTTTTAAGTTCTCAATTTTACATTTTGCAATTTTTCGATTTTTCGAATTTTTCATTTTTGAGTCTTTTGATTTTTCTTTTCGATATTTTAGTGTTCCAATTTTTAATATTTTTATTTTTCGTTTCTTCAGTTCTTCCGGTTTTAAACTTTTAGATTCTTAATTTTTGGGTTCTCCATTTACATTTTTTTATTTTCTAATTTAATTTTTCAATTTTCCAGTCGACTCGCAGTTTTTTCAATTTTGCAGTTATTTTTAGATATGTTTATTTTTCGTTGTGTCAATTTTTTGATTTTTTAGTTTCCCGACTTTTATTTTTTAAAATTTTTTCCGATGTTCCAATTTTTCCTTTCTTCAATTTTTTCTCTAGTTTTTCGATTTCACAGTTTCGCAATTTTATGATTATTGGGATTTTTCAATTAATCCGTGTTTCGATTTTTTTTGTTTTTGGAAGTGTATTTTGGAATTTTTCGGTTCTATAATTTTGTGATTTGTAATTTTTCGGTTTCAGTTTTAACTTTCTCACTTTTTAGATTTTACGTTTTTTTGAATTATCAATTTTTACATATATTATTTTTTGGTTTATTTGATTTTTCAGATTCTCATTTCATAAGTTTTTTATTTTCAATTTTTCAATTTTTTAGTTTCTCGATTTTAATTTTTTTTTATTCTTTCCGATTATACAATTTTTCATTTCTTCAAGTTTTCGACTTGAAATTTTTCAATTCGATTCGACCTGACACTGATTTTTCAATTTTTGAAAATTCTTCAGTTTTTCGATTTTACAGTTTCTCAATTTTTCGATAATTCCACGGATTATTCTAGTCTTTTAATTATTCGTTTTCGATTTGTTGGTTGTTCGTTTTTCAAATTTTTAGCTTTTACACGTTTTCTACGTTTCAGTTTTTAGATATATTAATTCTTCTTTTTTCCATTTTTCAGACTTTCGTTTCTTCAGTTTTTCGATTTGCAGTTTTTCTATTTTTGAGTTTCTCGATCTTAATTTTCTTTTTAAATGTTACAATTTTTCGACTTACAATTTTTCGATTCGATTTTAATTCCCACCGATTTCCGAATTTTATGAATTTTCCGGTTTTTCGATATTGTAGTTTCTCAGTTTTTTATTTTTCTGGTTTTCCAATTATTTTAGTTTGGATTTTAGTTATTTGTTTTTTTTGTAATTCTCGATCTTACAAATCGATTTAAATTTTTCAATTTTTAGGTTTTAAAATTTTTCGCATTTGGAATTTTTTGTTATATTCATTTGTCGATTTTTCGAATTTTCACATTTTCGTACCTTTTAATTTTACAACTTAGGTACAATTTTTCTTTTGTACAATTTCTATATAAGTATTTTAATTTTTCTTTTCTCAATTTTTCAATTTTTGGGTTTCAAATTTTTTGATTTTTTTCCATTTTTCAGTTTTTGGTTTCAGTTTCAACACGCAGTCTTTTTATTATATTTTAACTGCCAGTTTTACTTTAGCTTTTCGATTTTACAGTTTTTTCGATTTTTCAATAATTCCATTCTTCGATTTTTTACTTCCTAGATTTTTATTTTCTTTTTTTCAATGTTACGAATTTTCACTTTCCAATTTTTTCATATTATTATTTTTCGTTTTTTCGATTTTTTACTTTTATGATTTTTTTCATTCTTTCAATTTTTAATTTATATAATTTTATTACCTGCAACTTTTCGATTTGATTTTAACTGGAACCGATTTTTGAATTTTTGAAAATCCTTCAGTTTCTCAGTTCTTCGATTTTCTCGATTTTTCAGTTATTCAAATTTTCGGTTTTTATTTTACAATTTTTCGATTTTAGAATTTTTTGATTTGCAATTTTTCGGGTTCCCAGTTTGATATAAATTTTTTCTTTTTTTATATTCTACATTTTTTTCGATTTTTCAGTTTTGCGTTTCTTTAATTTTTCGACTTGCAATTGGTGATTTTACAATTTTTTGATATTTAATTTTATGCTTTTCCAATTTTTCGATTTTCCAGTTTATCGATTTTCAATTTTTTGATTTTTAAAGTTTTCAGTTTTTGGTTTCTTCAAGTTTTGAACTTGCCATTTTTGATTCAATTTTGACTGGTACCTATTCTCGAATTTTTAAAGATTCTTGAGTTATTCAATTTTCATTTTCCCAGTTTTTATTTTTTTGATTTTTGTTTTGCAATTCTTCGATTTTACAAATTTTTTTATTTGGTATTTTTCGATTTTTCAATTTTTCAATTTTTCGCTTCTTTAATTTTTCGCCTTGCAATTTTCCAATTTTACAATTATTGGAGAGTGTAATTTTTCGTTTTCCCGATTTTTCCAGTTTTCAGTTTCTCAATTTTTTCGATTTTTCGTTTCTTCAGTTTTCCGATTTTACATTTTCTCAGTTTTTGATTTTTCCGTTTTTATAATTTTCTAATTTGTAGTTTTTCCAATTTCAATTTTTTTAATTTTTAGAATATAGAATTTTTCGAGTTCGAGGAAAATGGAAAGATTGTAAGTTGAAAATTAAAATAAAAGAAAAACCGAAAAATCGAACAAACAAAAAATGAAAAAAATCTAAAAATTCCAAATTAAAAAAATTAAAAATTCTCAAATTGAAAAATTTAAAACGAATTGTAAAATCTAAAAATTAAAAATTTTTAATTTGAAAACTCGAAAAATTACAAATTAAAAAATTATAAAATCCAAAATTACAAAAACAAAAATCGAAAATGGAATAATTGAAATATCGGAAAAATCGAAAAATTGCGAAACTGTAAAATAAAAAATTCATGAATTTCAAAAAATTCGAAAATCGGTCGAAAAATTGAAAAAACGAAAGTCTGAAAAATGGAAAAAAAACGAAGAATTAAAATACCTACAAACTGAAAAGTAAAAAAGTGCAAAATTTAAAAACCGAAATTTTTTCGATTCGATTTTAACTGACAATGATTTCCGAGTTTTTAAGGATTTATCGGTTTTTCGATTTTGTAGTTTCTCAGTTTTTTTATTTTTCCGATTTTTCAATTATTCCACCCTTTGATTTTTAGTTGTTCGGTTTTTATTCGCAATTTTCGATCTTACAATTCGATTTAAATTTTTCATTTTTTGAGGTTTTACAATTTTTCGAATTTGGAATGTTTAAATATTTTCATTTCTCGTTTTTTCGACGAAAATTTGTAAAATCTTAAAATTAAAGAATTTCCAACTAATAATTAAAAATTGAAAAATGGAATAATTGACATATCGAAAAAATTGAAAAACTGAGAAACTGTAAAATCTAAGAACTGGAGAATTTAAAAAAATTCGATAATCGGTGGCAGTTAAAATCGAGTCGATAAATTTCAAGTCGAAAAATTGAATAAACAAAAAATTGAAAATCGAGAAACTGAAAAATCGAATAATTTCTAATTAAAAAATTATAAAATCGAAAAATTGTTAAATAAAAACTGAAAAATGGAATCATCCAAAAATCGAAAAACTGAAGAACCTTTAAAAATTTGAAAATCAAAGCCCGTTAAAAAAATGAGATTTTCGTAAATGATCGTATTGTTGAAAGTAGTTATAATGATCCTATAATTTTCACCTCCGTTACTTTAGAACGGCCAACATATAAAAACTAAACATCTTAATTAATTTAAAACGAGAGATCATCTTACATGTGTTGAATGCTTCCCGCTAAGTGGGTGTAGCGAATCCCCATAGTGCCAAAAACACCTGAATCATCATCGAGAGCTTGTACCCAAGCCACCGTAGTACCAACATCGCAATTTTCCGGTACGAAGACCTCATAAACGTTTTTTGTAAACTCCGGGTAGTTATCGTTGCGGTCTGAGATGCGTACGATCACGGGCACTTCAGTAAACTTCGGATTATACTTAACCACTTCTTTCGCCACCACAGTGAAATTGATCGCTTTGATCCGCTCGAAGTCCAACAAAGACGAGTTCCTCACCCGAATCATAAACGTAGCTTCATTTATGACTTTCGTGGGCGTTATTTCAAAAGTATCGCTGGCACCTTTTACGTACAACTGAAACGTACCATTAATTCCCTAAAATCGTCATTATTGATACGGAATCATGGTAATGCGGGTAATTAACCTGGTCGTGGTCGTAGACTTCAGGCATGGCGGAACCCAGGAAGGTCAGTGGTGTGTTGACTGGTGCATTTTCCGCTATCTCGCATTCATAATACTCACTCCTAAATTTTGGACTCTCGTCGTTGATATCGGTGATGATTACGGTCACCTCTGTGGTGACGCTAGGGGAAGGTTTGACTTTACCCCCGAATTCGGTGGCCTGCAAATCTGTCTATAATGAGACGCATTTTGGTAAAACGTACTAACCGTTATCTGGAGGATGTAAGTACCGGAACTCGTGGAGAGAGATTCTCGGTCTAAATTTTTGGCAGTTAGTACCGCTCCGGTGCTTTCTTCGATAATGAACACATCGGAGATTTTGTTGATGGTGTTGGACGATAACGAGTATTTGATTGGGTTATTAACACCACGATCACCATCAATCGCGGTTACTGGAAATATCTTTAGTTATGTGAGTCACATAGATGGGGGTACTACCTTGAAGAACGGAGCTTCCGATTGGTGCATTTTCGGCAACTCGAGCGACCGAAGTAACTCTAACAAACTCAGGTGGTTGGTCTTCCACATCTTCGACTTTTACCAGAAGAGCGGCTACACCTGTGTTGACCCTTCCTTGTTTCGCTCGATCAACCGCTAGTACTTTGAGTTGGTGCAAAGTTTGTTTTTCGTAATCTAAAGAACCTACAATTTTGTCTGTAGAGACGAATCTGGACGAGTTTGAAGATCTTACCTACTAAGCGTACTATTGCTTTTCCCCCGGCCGTACTAACACTAAATAAAGTACTCTCCCCATCGTCCTCCCTCAAATGATAAACCACCTGACCGTAAGCCCCCTCGTCTGCGTCTGTAGCCTCCAAGGTGGCTATAACTCCCGGCGTGGCGTCCTCTCGCAATACAATCGACGATTGATGACTCGTGAATATCGGTGTGTTATCGTTGACATCTTCGACTAGCAATAAAAGACTTTGAGTGACGTAATTACCTTGTCCAAGGCGGCCATCAGTTAAGGTTAAAACTAACGGGTACTCATCTCGCGTCTGGAATAATTTTTACTCTACAATCTGTCCACGGGGACTAATTATCTAACTTTACTTCTCTATCTAGTTCCTTATTAAGATAGACGTCTGCTTCACTAGGCGATATGTTTTCAACGCGTATAACGTCGCTACCCGGTTGAGATCTGACTCCGAAGCTAAGAGGGTCACCATCAGGATCCGTTCCTTGTAGTTTATAAATTAAGGTACCTGAAACATGGACCACGTCCGAGTGAAATATTGGTTAACAAGGTTAAATTATTTTTTGGTAGGCACGTCTGACACGCAACAAAAATGTGTTTTGTGAAAGTTCATCGCCAAATTAAATTTCTAAACGTGCGGCGGCTACTCATAGAGTGCAAGTAGTGGTCAGGAGTGGCCATTAATCATTAATTCGATGAGGAATTAACATGTTAATTTTTACTGAAAAAAAAAATGATGATGCAGTTTTTTCGCGTGGAAGAGCTTGTTGGTAACTAGAAACTAATGAAAGGTTGGCTGTGTAAATTATTCATTACTTGAGCCGTGTGTGAAAATTTTAATAATACCCGGTATTGAGAGTTTTGGATTCTTTTTTCAGTGAAATCTGTGACAATGGGTCACTTTCGTATTTTAGCGAGTTTAATAACAGCCGAATTATTTTCATTCATATGCCGCATTATATAAGTATATAGAAGTTATTTAAAGGAAGTCTGTTCAGAAGTGGTTGCTTTGAAATATTGCAATCGTTTCGTATTTAAAGCACGCTAACGTAATGAAACCGTAAAATAAAAAATTATCTAACACTCTAAAAATTTGTATCAACTACTTAAGTAATTATTTAGAAAAAAGTTTTTAACTTGAATGTGTAAAATACTGTAAAAAATAACACAATTGATTGTTGTTCTAATTTGCCGTTGTTATACAGGATGAGTCACTAAGCTAAGAAAAAAAGTAACAAACTAAAGTTGTACTGTTCATTAAGTAGCATACACTACACACAGTATGATGTTGCCACGTTATTCTACTTTTCTTTTTTTAGCAATGGATGCATTCACAAAAAAAGTACAATAGGATTATTTTTAGGATGCGTATTACAATATTTTATGGTGGCATAAACAAAGGTGGGCGTTTTGTTGTGGTATCAATTAAATCAAATTTAAGATACACAGTGTTTATAAAAAAAATCTTTCAATTTTCAAATCTGGATATTTCAGTGTTTTCAAATAGAACACTCTGTGTTTTTTATGTTCTCGCTACATCAATATATCGGTGTGTCTCTTAAAAAAGAAAAAAAACCCACAATCACTACATCTAAAGTTTAAATATAGAAAATAAAGATAGAAAAAGAAGAAAAAACGATATTTGAAAAGTAACGTTTTAGAATTTTTTTTATAAACACTTTGTATATTAAGGCTCTATTTTATTTATGACACAACAAAGCGTGTGCTTTTATTTGTATCTCTACAAAATATTGTAGAGATATACACAAATTTTTAGTATAAACCTATTGCGATTTTTTTGTGAGTCCTTGTTTTCTAAAAAATTTCAAGGAAATTGGAATAACGTAGCAAAGTCGCATCAGAATTTCAAAAATTCACTGTGATTATAAAGCCTAAGAAGAGATCAATCTAAATATATGAAAATATATAGTGTATATTCCGTTTGAAAAAAGGAAGTTGTGTTTTATGCCTTGAAGCGGAACACCCTGTATAAATCAAGTAGTCAGGAGGACACAGTTGATTATTTTTCTTCTCGACTCAGATCTAAGAAAACAGTCATTTTGACGAATATCTAATTTCGTGTTTTCTTGGAGTTGCAAAGCTTCTAGAACACGAAAATGCAGGTTTCACGTTTCTGTTTATTTCTTTCTGTTGACGATTTTATTAGATATAAACTATTGAACCCATTACTCCGAAATTTTGGGTGCACTTTAAGATCCTCGTGAAGATGATTATCTTAAAATTTTGTTTAGTAAATCCACTGTAATTGATTTAAAAATTTGTCTCAGTTATACAGGTTATCCTAGAAAATGAAGTATGCCAAACAAAATTTTTATATAATGATGTTTTTGTTTTTCTATTTATCTTTGACATATAAATGAACTCAAAACAATATTTTTGTTGTTATTTCTCTTCTTGCATTTGAAAATACAATGCTTTATCTGTACTAAAGTAGAAAATGTGTATACTTTTCCAATGGTAACTAGTGCACATTTTTTTTCTGTGTTTGCGTATTACAGAGTTTTATTACCTTCAAAATACTACATAGAGCTCAATTTTTTTTTATTTTTTAATAATTAAGAACTGGGGTTTTATACAGGGTGTTTACTAAACACGCGGTAAAAATTTGCCAGGTTTATTCCTTGGGTTATTTTGAAATTTTTTGCCCTTGAATGATTTTCGAAAAGGCGCTTTATTTAGAAGTTACGGGGCGATAAAAGTAGCCTTAAATTCCTTGGATTTTATTTATACAGGGTGTTATTGAAAGGTACGTACAATAAAATGGACAGTTCTTCGCGAAGTCTAAGAAGTCGGAAAAACTTATTTTGTGTTATCAAAATTATAAGTGGAAAATTAACCCTTATCCAACCTTTTTAGACGCTACTGAAGGATAAATAGGTAAAATTAATTTATTTTAGTAAATCCTAGCAACTGTAACAATAAAACTTTTGTCAAGACTAAATGTTGCTATAGAAATGAAAGATGATTTTTTTATCAGAGGCGTACAACGAATTTGGACATAAATTTTAATAATATTTATCTCTAAAAGGAGAACACTTTTACCTGAACTTTTTTTAGTTTTTAGCACCCATACTTCGAGACCAATTGCCGATTTTATTTTGTACGTACCTTTCAATAACAGGCTGTATGTAGTGTTATTTGAAAACATTAATGTACATTATTCTAGTAGAAAATGAAAAAGATTCGGATAATAGGGGAATGTGATGCAAAAAGAACAGCCCCTGATATTTTTGAAATAGCTTGGCAGTCAAGGGGGAGAATATTGGATGCATGATCTTACTGGTGGTAGTCATTTCCAGCAGATTTTCTAGATTAAGAATTTTTACATGTAATGCGAATTAATAAAGTATTGTTTTTTTCAAAAAGATTTTTTCGTCCTGTATCTTTGAAACAAAGCGTCTTTCCAAAAATCACCCAAGGACAAAAAATTTTTATAACAACCCAGAGAATAACTCCTTGCATTTTTGTCGCATGTTTAGTAACCACCCTGTATAAATCTTTCCAAAATTCTACTGAATACTGAAATCAAAAAAGTGAATAGAATATATAAACTAGTGGATATTTGTTAAAAAAGTGTTTGAAATTTAGGTAGGGATTAAAAATTGGTCTTAGGTTATTTCGACAGGACTTCCCCTCATCCCTGAAGTACAGCCCAAAATCGAAAATTGAAAAACCCAAAAATCGAAATCCCGAAAGTCCAAAGATCGATCAAAGTCGAAACATTGAAAAAAATGAGATTTTGAAAAATTCCCAAATTTGAAATGTTGAAAAATTGAGAAATCGAAAACTTGAAAAATCGAGAAATCAAAAAAAAAATTTTTAAATCAAAAGACTAAAAATCGAAAAACTAAAAATGTGGAAATTGAAAAATCCCAAAACTGAAATATCGAAAAATTAAAAACCGTACAATCGAAAAACCGAGAAATCGAAATTGAAAAACTGAAACATCTAGAAATCGAAATATCAAAAGATCGAGAAATCGAGAAGCCTAGAAGTCGAACAATCGAAAATGAAAAATTTTAAATCGAAATATTTAGATTAAAAAACCGATAAATCGAAAAATTAAAAAATCGATACACCGAAATTTCGATAGACTGGAAAATCGTAAATCTGAAAATTGAAAAATTTTAAAACCGAAAAATTGAAAACTTGAAACTTCAGAAATTTTAAAAATAAAAAAATTGAAAAACCGAAAAATCTAAAAGCGAGAAGTCGAAAAATCGAAAGATCAAGAAATAGAAACATTTAAAATTTAGGAAAAAAACGTCGAAAAATTGAAAAATCGAGAAATCAAAATTTAAAAAAAATCGAAAAATTAAAAAATGAATTCATCGAAATGTCGATAAATTGGAAAACGGGAAAACTGAAAAACTTAAAAGCTGAAAAACGAAAAACTTGAAAAATGAAAAATTTTAAAAATAAAAAAAAATGGAAAACCGAAAAATCTAAGAGCGAGAAGTCGAAAAATCGAAAGATAATAATAGATACATTTAAAATTAAAAAAAAAGAAAAATTAAAATGTCGAAAAACTGAAAAATCGAGAAATCAAAACTTTAAGAAATCGAAAAATTAAAAAATGGATACAACGAAATGTCGATAAATTAGAAATTCGGAAAACTGAAAAACTTAAAAGCTGAAAAAGAAAAAAATTGTAAAGCCAAAAAATCTAAAAGCGAGAAATCGAAAAATCGAAAGATCAAGAAATAGAAACATTTAAAATTTAGAAAAAAAAAACGTCGAAAAATTGAAAAATCGAGAAATCAAAACTTCAAAAAATCGAAAAATTAAAAAATCGATACATCGAAATGTCGATAAATTGGAAAATCGGAAAACTGAAAGACTTAAAAGCCGAAAAACGAAAAACTTGAAAAATGAAAAATTTTAAAAATAAAAAAAAATGGAAAACCGAAAAATCTAAGAGCGAGAAGTCGAAAAATCGAAAGATAAGAAATAGATACATTTAAAATTAAAAAAAAAAAACGAAAAATTAAAATGTCGAAAAACTGAAAAATCGAGAAATCAAAACTTTAAAAAATCGAAAAATTAAAAAATCGATAGAACGAAATGTCGATAAATTGGAAAATCGGAAAACTGAAAAAGAAAAAAATTGAAAAGCCAAAAAATCTAAAAGCGAGAAATCGAAAAATCGAAAGATCAAGAAATAGAAACATTTAAAATTTAGAAAAAAAAAACGTCGAAAAATTGAAAAATCGAGAAATCAAAACTTCAAAAAATCGAAAAATTAAAAAATCGATACATCGAAATGTCGATAAATTGGAAAATCGGAAAACTGAAAGACTTAAAAGCCGAAAAACGAAAAACTTGAAAAATGAAAAATTTTAAAAATAAAAAAAAATGGAAAACCGAAAAATCTAAGAGCGAGAAGTCGAAAAATCGAAAGATAAGAAATAGATACATTTAAAATTAAAAAAAAAAAAACGAAAAATTAAAATGTCGAAAAACTGAAAAATCGAGAAATCAAAACTTTAAAAAATCGAAAAATTAAAAAATCGATAGAACGAAATGTCGATAAATTGGAAAATCGGAAAACTGAAAAAGAAAAAAATTGAAAAGCCAAAAAATCGAAAAGCGAGAAGTCGAAAAATCAAGAAATAGAAACATTTAAAATTTAAAAAACGAAAAATTAGAATGTCAAAAAATTGAATCGAGAAATCAAAACTTTAAAAAATCGAAAAATTATAAAATCGAAATATCGAAAAATCCCAAAATTGAAAAATCCTAAAACTGAAACATCGAAAATTTGAGAAATCGAAAAGCGGAAACTTCAAAGAATCGTTTAATAAAGAAATTGAGAAAAGGAAAAATCGAAATTTAGGAACGCCACAAATTGAAATATTGAAAAATCAAAAAATTTGAAGAATCGAAAAACTGAAATCGTAAAACTGAAATATAGGAAAATCGAGATCTCGAAAAATACCTTCAAAAAACGAGAAATCGAAAATTCGAAAAATCGAGAATTTGAAGAATCAACAAATTGAAAAATCTTTAAACTAAAATGTCGAAAAATTGAGAAAAGGAAAAATCGAAACGCCACAAATTGAAATATTGAAAAATCGAAAAATTTGAAGAATCGAAAAACTGAAATCGTAAAACTGAAATATCGGAAAATCGAGATCCCGAAAAATACCTTAAAAAACAAGAAATCCAAAATTCGAAAAATCGAGAATTTGAAGAATCAACAAATTGAAAAATCTTCAAACTAAAATGTCGAAAAATTGAGAAATCGAAAAATCTAAAGATAGAGATATCGAAACATCAAAAAAGTGAAAAATATAACATTTAAAAATTCAAAAAATTAAAAATTGAAGTACTAAAATACCGAAAATTCGAGAAATCGAAATATCTAAAATTAAAAAAAAAAAACAAAATATTACAATGTCGAAAAATTGAAGAATCGAGAAATCAAAACATCACAAGTCTAAAAATTGGAAAATCGAAAGGTTGAAAAATTCCAAAATTGAAAAATGTTAAAACCGAAACATCGACAACTTGAGAAATCGAAAAACTGAGAAATGTAGAAAACGAAAAGTCAAAAAATGAAAAAATCGAAAAATCAAAGAATCGATTTATTGAGAAATTGAGAAAAGGAAAAATGCAAAATTTCGAAACGCCAAAAATTTATTCGGCTAAATTTTGAGATAACATCATCAGTTTTTTGGGAGGATATAAACGAATAAATTTTGCTTAACGATTTACCATGATTACGATAACCTTAAAATATTTACGAGGTATCTTAAAATATCTTCATTACGGAAGATTCGTGAAATTCATCATTTCAGAATATTAATAACATCATTAAAAAATACCGCTAAATTAGGGTGGTCATCACGCTTCGTTTTATGTTCTAAAGAACAAGACGGATTAAACAATAAAAAAATCAAGGTAGATTCATAAATCACAAGTACAGGAGTATGTGATTTTATAAAATTTAAATGGTCCAGTAATTTCGGAGATTATTTGTATAATAAAAGTCGACACAGACCACAGACAGACAGACAGAAACGGGAGTTAAGAGTTTAAAAAAATAATATTTTGCAACTTTATTGTAACAAGTAAGTATTTACATTTTTTTCAGTCTCTTTGGGTCAGTAAAACCCCAAATTTCACAGATTTAGTAATTCGTTTTCACTGATATAAGTAGTTGAACACTTAAGATCCATACAAAATTAACATTATTTTCGTTTAACGCCCCCTTAAGTGAAACTTAATTAATAGGAACCAAACGGGGGCGGAATTAATTTAGAAATTAAATCAAACATTTTTTTGCGATAGAAATGTTCATTAAATGTAAAGTAGCTAGAGCATTTATTTTAATAAGTAGTCCGTTTGTCTCATTTGTTAGTTCCTGCGGTTTCATTGCTTATTGCTGAAATTAACTCAGTTTGTTGTACTTTAAATGGACGTGTTTTGGTTACAAAATTATTTGGAGCAAAGTATTGACAAAAAATGAAATCTGCTTGGAAAACTCGTTTGTTCTAAAAACAGTCTATTTACATCAAAGGTCAATAAACATAAAACAATACACACTTAGTAGTGGTATTTTACTCCTTTCGATTACACACATTCCACCATAAAATTAAATAATTTAATTAATTTACCTAACATAGCTTCTATTTTCTATAATATGTCATAAAAATAAAACTCACCCACTGGCGTCTCCTTGCCTTCTTTCAGTCTTAAAACAATTTCGGTTTGGCCGTTAATTAAAAATCTAGGAGGTCTGTTACACTGCACTTTACTAATACACAGGACGAACACGCACACAAACACCACACAATCCAAAAAATTTTTAAATCTCACTTTAACAAAGTGTCTGTTTAATGTCCGCACAACTTGGTTTGTCTTTTGTCGTTTCTTGTCCATGGTGTTGCTATTTTTCCGCCTTAGCCCAGTTCTGCCATTCATGGGTCTCGTTCTTTCCGCACGAGTTGATTCGAGTCCTCTTCATGGTTAAGGATCTTCGCTGTGACTGATTTTCAAGTTTATTTTTACGGGTACACTTTCACTAGAACAAAAGACGGATTAATACAGCATCATTGGCGGCTGAATGGGGCATGGTGTGTGCTTTAATTGCCGTTCTCACATGATAGTTTTCTATTTCAATTTATTGTGAATATTTTAGTGGGAAATTAATTATTGTGATTTATAGGCTTTGAGACTCACTTTTCTTGATTTCACATTCTTCGCTAATTGTGCGGAATATGCGTAGGCAACTATGGGACAAAAGTTTCTAAAATGGGTTTTTGTGAGCGCGTTATTAATTAAAGACAATGTAAATTTAAAGAATATCCGCTCGTTTGGATGCTAATTAAATGTTGCGACTTATTGGAGAGAACAGGTGTAGTTTGGAGAAGATCTGCCACAGTTTTTTATTTGCATTTTCTTTTGAGCGACCTCGAAATCAAGCAAAGCTGAAAGTAAACAATAAAATCTGCACAGGGTAGAGTCGATGCACACAAACACAAAGGCGACAGATAGCATTAATTTGATTGTTGACATGTAGCGGCTTCTCTGGCTAGATCTTGTCTTTTTGTTTTACGTTATGGTGCTTGAAAAACTTCTGGAGTGCATCGAATCGTAATGTGCGTCGGACATTGACTACGAATGGGTTGCCGACCAGAGAAAATACGGGCATTTTTTTTACATAATAAAGTGTTACGAGTGTTAATGAAATAAGAGTTCGTATGCATCAAAATTTTCCCACGATTTTAGGCGATGGAGACAGGCAGAGTTACATAATGTAAATGTGTAATATTGTTTAAATTTATTCTAACAATGCTAATGAAGTACCATGCTTCCTTTTATTATGCAAGGGGGCAAATTTATTTAGATTATTTTTAAGTGCTGGTCGGGATTTGTCGACTATTTTCATAAATTGGGAAGCAAAGTTTCTCTCAAAATTTATTTTAAGTGGAAATAAATTTGTTAAAAATGTGTAGTTATTATTGTTTTTTCATTATTTCTTGCAGCAATCATACATATAGTAAGATAGCTTAGCACCAAGTAGACTACATCAGAATCGTAGTTCAGAATAATGATTATCGCATTATGTATAACGCTAACCGAAATTTGCCTACTCATAGCCTAGAAAAAAATTATGACATGACCACAAAATTTTGAGGTAAGTTTCACTTGAATTTTATAGTTTGTCATGCTCTATTACTTGTGGTTAATAATTTATTCATTAAACTTACGCGTACAAGATATCGTAAAAAATAAAATACTTATTTATAATAAAATTCTGCAATTTGTGTTGCAGTCTACATAACGGACTTTTTTCGAAACTTTATTAAGATATTGAGTCATTTCAAAAAATTAACAAATAAAGCAACGCTTCAGAAGTAATATACAGGTGTCCTAGATAAAACTCTGCTATCTTCAGAACGGACGGAAATATTGACATTCTGTAAACGCGATTGTCTTTGGCTAGGAGAGGGAAACTTAATTTAGGAAAAAATATAGGTTTGTATTGCTAAAAACAATGGCGTTTACAGAATGTCAGTATCTCTATCTGTTTTCAAGACATAATTCCGCGAAATTTTATCTGGGACATGCTGTATATCACGCAATTTGATTAAAAACATCTCACTTGAAATATTCAACACACGATGTTGTTTTAACTTTGGTTAATAAAGAAATAGAATTTAAGAAACTGGGGTTTTAAAAATATGTACATGTTAAGACACTAACATGATGGTGTATATATAAAATAAGGATTAATTTTCGTTAAAAATACGTACAAAATGCCATTAATCAAAGTCGTCCTCAACTTGGCACTGGATGTCTTTACTATCCGACCATTTTAAAGAGTTATCATTATCACTTTCAAATAAAGATTTACTTAATTATATTTTTTACAGACTAAATTCTTTCCTCTTCTTCACTTACGCTTGGAAAGTATCGTAATAGATTTGATATTTTCTAGAATATGAAAAAGTAGGTCTTCCGTTTCGGGCTATTTTATTAGACAGATAATTTCTGAAACTGCTGGACTGACTATATGAAATTTTAAATGTATTTTAAACGAATATATTGCAGATGATAAAACGTTAATAAACAAAATTTGTCTGATCATCCTTAACAAAAATTAATGACTTCACTCAAATTTTTATTAAGTAACTCCTACTCATAATTGCAAAATAATATGCTTCTATACCGGTGGTTTATTATACCATCACTATTTTTATGTTTATGCACGTGGCTTAAAAATTTTTTCGATATTTCGTCTTGCAATTTTTCAATATTTTCTTTTAACTTTTCCGATTTTTAAATTGTAGATCGTTCAATTTTTCGGTTTTTCGTTTTTATGTTTCGGTTTCCAGATTTTTCAATTTTTCGTTTTTTTCAAATGTTTTGATTTACTAGTGTCTTTATTTCTTGATTTTCCAAATTTTCGATTCTTCAGTTTTTCGATATTTTAATTATTCAATTTTTAAATATTTAGATTTTTCGATGCCTCGATTTTTCAGTTCTTCGACATTTCTGTTTTTCAGTTTTTCGAATTTCTATTTCAGATTTTTCACTTTTTGATTTCTTCATCTTTCGATTTTTCAACTTTCCGATTTTACATTGTTCGGTTTTTCAATTGTCCGATTTTTAAATTTTGATTTTTCGATTTCTCGATGTATTGAGATTTCGATGTTTCGTTTTTCAGTTTGTTCAATTTCTGGATTTTTCGAGTTTTTAATTTCAAATTTGTCGATTTTGAGCTATTTCAGTTTCTCGATTTTTCGAGTTCTCGATCTTTTGATGTTTCGTTTTATCGATTTTTTGATGTTTAAGTTTTCCGAATTTTCGACTTTTCGAATTCCCAATTTTTCGATGATCCGATTTTTCAGTTTTTCGATTTCCCGGTTTTTCATTATTTCATTTTTGGAATTTTTCAGTTTTTAGACTCTTCAATTTTTGGATTCTTCAATTTTTCGATTTCTCAGTTATAGCGATGTTTGTGTTTTGGAATTTTAAAATATTTCGATTCTTCGGTTTTTCGATTTTTCTATTTTTCAAATTTTTACTTCGATTTTTCAATAGTAGATTTTTCAATTTTTCAGTTTTTGGATTTTTTGAGGTTTCGATTTCTCGATTTTTCGATTCTTTAATTTTTCTTCGATATTTTTGAATTTTTTGGTTTTCAAATTTTAGATTTTCCAAGTTTCCGTTTTTTAAAATGTTTTGATTTTCTAATGTCTTGATTTCTCGATTTTCCAAATTTCTAATTCTTCAATTTTTCGATATTTTAATTATTCAATATTTAAAATTTAAGATTCTTCGATTTCCCGATTTTTCAGTTCTGCAACATTTCTATTATTTAGTTTTTCGAATTTCTAATTTTTATATTTTTAAATTTTTTTATTTCTCGATCTTTCGATTTTTCAACTTTCCCATTTTAGATTTTTCGGTTTTTCAATAGTCCGATTTTTAGATTTTGATTTTTCAATTTTTCAGTCTTTAAGTTTTTAATTGTTCGATTTTTCGATTTATTGAGTATTTTGATTTTTCGTTTGTTTAATTTCCGGATTTTTCGAGTTTTTAATTTTCGACTCGGTGATTTTGGCCAATTTAACTTTCTTGATTTCATCTCTCAATGTTTCAGTTTTTCGATTTTTTGATGTTTAGATTTTTCGTTTGCCCGGTTTTCCGATTTTTCGACTTTTCTGCTTTTCAGTTTCCGAATTTTTCAAGGATCGCATTTTTCAGTTCTTCAATTTTCTAATTTTTCGTCTTTTCAGTTTTGGAATTTTCAGTTTTTTGACTCGTCAATTTTCCGATTTTTCAATATCTGGGTTTTTTGATTTCCGATTTTTCAATTTTTCTTTTTTCTTTGTGTATTTCCAGTTCTTGACTTTTCGGGGTTTCGATTTTTCAATTTTTCCATTTTTAAATTCTTCCATTAGTAAATTTTATAATTTTCAATTTTTTGATGTTTCGACTTTTCAATTCAGCAAATTTTCAAAATTTTAATTTTTCAAATTTTTAAATTTTAGATTTCTCGATTTCTGGATTTTTCGATTTTTTAGATGTTCGATATTTTTGTTATTCAATTTTTCGATTTATTAGATTTTTGATTTTTCAATCTATTGATTTTTCAATTTTTCGATTTTACAATTTTTTATTCAATTTCTTAATATCTCAGTTTACGATGTCCCAATGTTTCAACATCTCAGTTTTGGGAATTTTGTAATTTCCCGATTTTTTGATATTTCGATTGCTCGATCTTTCCATTTTTCGACATTTTTTGGATTTAGATTTTTCCGTTTTTCATTTTTCGATCTTTACAATTTTCAATTTTCCGATTCTTAAATTTTTCGATTTTTGAAGTTATTCAATTTTTACAGTATTGTGATTTCTCAATTTTTCAATTCAGAGATTTTGTGTTACTTCAGTTTCTCGATTTCTCGTTTTTTGGATTTCTCGATTTATCGATCTTTTGATGTTTCATTTCTCGATGTTTCAGTTTTTCGATTTTTGATGTTTCGATTTTTCGATTTCTCGGTTTTTCGATTTTTCGGCTTTTCAGTTTCCCAATTGTTGGATGATCTGATTTTTCAGTTTTTCGATTTCCCAATTTTTCGTCATTTCAATTTTGGAATTTTCAGTTTTTTGACTCGTCAAATTTCCGATTTTTCAATATCTGGGTTTTTCGATTTCCGATTTTTTTTCTTTTTTTTGATATTCCCATTTTTCGAATTTTCGGCGTTTCAATTTTTCAGTTTCAGATTTTTCAATTTTCCAAATTTTTAAATTTGAGATTTCTCGATTTCTGGATTTTTCTATTTTTTACTTGTTCGATATTGTTACTCAATTTCTCGATTTATTAAAGTTTTGATTTTTCAGTCTATTGAGTTTTCGATTTTACGATTTTTTTTTCGTTTTCTTAGCGTCTCGGTTTTTCGACTTTTCAAGTTTTCGATGTCTTAATTTTTTAACATTTCAATTTTGAGAATTTCTTAATTTCTGGATTTTTCAATGCTTTCTTTTTTTTTGATGTTTCGACTGCTCGATATT